GAGATGTAGCCGGAGTGGTCTGTTGCTCCCCACAAGCGAGCTTTGAGCAGCTATGAGGAAATGGAGACATCCTTACAGTTCATAGAAAAGCCTTGACACAGGGTATTTTGCTATTTGTGCTGGGCAACAAGCAACTCCAAACTTAGTGCCTGAAACTAACTGACAGATGTTTATTGTCTTCCAGGGTTTCTGTGAGTCAGGAATCTGGGAGCAGCTCAGCTGGGTGGCCCTAGCTTAGCATCTCGGGAGGCTGCAGTCAGGATGTTGGGCGGGGCTGGTCATCAGAAGGCTCCTCTGGGGCTGGAAACCTCCCTCATGCCTGGGGCACCAGTGCCGGATGCTGGGGGACCCAGGTCCCTCCCCACGGGGGCTTCTCATACAGGCAGCTCACCCCCTCACAGGAGATCCAGGGATGGGCAGGGGCCCGGGGGTCCTACAGCCTAGCTTTGGCAGTGACGTACTACCACTCACGTGTGTTCAACAGGCCTCACAGACAAACTAGGCCCAGCGCTGGGGGGGTCACAAGGGCTTGAATTCGGGAGGCGTGGACCACTGGGGGCCCGCTTCGGGGCTGCTCTACACACAGGGAAGTGGGAACCCTTGACTCCGGTGGTGGGGACAGCATGGGGTCCAGAGAGGGTCAGGAAGGCTGGGGGGACATGGGGGACCTGGCCAGCCTGTGCCAGGATGCAGGGCTGAGGTTGGGGGCACGCCTCGCTGGAACATGATGAATTCAGGGGCAGGAGAAGAGCCGGCCCCGGTGGCAGGGGCTGGAGCTGGTGCTTTTAGTTGTCACATTGTTCCAGTCTGGTGGGATGTGGACGCTGACCTGACGATCGCAGAAACACGTGATCCGAGTCCAGGTGGGGGCTCCATGTGAGAAACACACTGAGGTCACCCGGCTAAGGGCCAGGAAATCTTCCAGGAGGAAATGTTTGGCAGCACCTGGAATAGGAGTTAACGAAGTAAGGGTGGCATGGGGCAGACAGTTCCAGGGTGGGAGAAGGTGCGTCTAGAAGCTTCTGGAAGGTGGGAGTGCTTCTACACTCCCTCTTCTCTGATGTTGGAATTGCTGCCGGCGGTCAGACCTTGTATTCAGCACTCGTTGAAGAATGACCCACAACTCAGTAAGCAGCTCTGGAAGTCCCGGCGCGGTGCTTCCGGCCTGGGGGCTGGGGAGCCGCTCTGAGCCCCTGGACACGGGAGGACAGGCTGGCCTGCTGGGGCTAGGGTGGGTGGCAGGGCCTGCTGATGGCTCTGCTGGGCAGCGGAGGGGCTTCTGAGGTCTTGGATTCTGGCCCTGAGGACCTGGGGGCTTCCGAGGTCTGGCTCTGCCCTAGGGAGGCTGGTCTTGCTCTTCCCAGGTTCTCCTCTAGATGGCGCCAGGGGATCAGACACGGGCAGCATCCACAGGGCAGGCCTTCTGGCCGCTCCAGGATGGCGACCGCAGGACACATCCAGCCAAGAGTAGCGGTGGGGGGCTGCGTTTTGAAGCAGGGCTGGGCTGGGCGCGGGCCTTGGGTGGGGCTGGCTGGTGGGAGCCTCAGAGCAACCTAGCAGGGCTGCCCCTGAGCTGGACGAGGCCCTGGTGTGCACCCCACTGACCCCACTCCTCTGAGCCGCTCCCCACTTAGCCCATGAAAGCCACCAGGCTGGGAGCTGCCCCACCACTTTGGGACGGCGTAGACACTGTCCCCAGTTCCTGGCCACCCACAGATCCCTCCTCCGGAATGCCAGCTCCGAGAAGAATAAGAAAGGCCCCGCTGTGCATGTGGGGAGCCCCTCCCGGCGGGGGCTTTGGAATTCCGCTTTCCTGACGGAGGTGAGGTCCATCCAACGTCCCCCACTCCGCCCTCAGGATGAGGCTTCTGAGGTGGCTCTTCTTCACCTGCTTCTGCCTCGTCCCTTGGGATGTGAGGACAGTGACTCGTGGGAGAGTTTCCCTGAAGACTGGGCAGGATGTGGGACAGAATGAGGGGGCTCTGGGTGCATCACCTGGAGGGTGGGCTGGGGGCCCATATCTGGCCCACCTGGGAGCCTGCACCTCGGCGTGGCCCTTGGGGGACTGGCTCCAGGAATCTGAACAACTGACTTGCTCCCAGGTGGGGAGGCATGGGGTTGGCCAGGTGTCACAAGGTGGCCTCTGCCATCGCCCTCCTTGGGCCTCCGTGTCACTGTCCTTGGGGCAGCTCGGCTGTGTGGGTAGGGGCTGGGGGTTGGGTGAGCCCACCTGCTTCCCCACCGCCCCGTCGACTTGCTCAGTCCCTTAGACCCCTGGGGTGGGGGTGGTGCCCGGCTCCCCATCGTGCCCTGATTGACTTGTCCATTTATGCGTTTCCGTGAGAAAGCGGTCCCTGCCCCCAGAGCCACCCTGCAGCCTTGGCCAGGGGCCGCCCCTCCTGCCTCTCCCGTGGTCCCAGGCTGACTAGGGGAGGGCGTTTGTCTTGATTTCCCCCCAGTTTGTTCTTTCAGTCACACTTGATTTCTTACTGCACAGTCTCCTCGGCCCCAAGGTGCTGTCCTGTTTATGGACGAAGCGGGCTGCCTGCTGCCGTGGGGGAAGCAGCCGTTCACCGAGAGGTATGTCACTGGAAGCCCTTTCCCGCTTTGTTCCAGACGCCCCCTGCAGCTGCAGATCTGGGTCCCCAAGGCCATGCCCCCCTCTGTTACTCGAGGGAAGTCCCCTTGCGGGTCTGGGCCTTGGTTTAGACGGTGTAAAACGGGCTGATGGGATCCAGACTCTACCCAGGAGCGGTGGTGAGGACCTGAGCTCGCGGCCCCACTGGGCTCTTTGGCCCCGCCAGGCTCACAGCTCAGGCCCTGCCCGGCCCCTCCCCCAGTCCAGCAGCTTTGCCTGCATTTTGAACTTGCAGCAAAGCAAAGGGTGAACACAGCTTTAAAGCCTTAAGTAACAGTCCAGATCAGACCTGAGAGAGCAGGCCGCTGCCCCTCCCAGCCCCTCCCCATTCCTGCAGCAAAGGCCAGAGAACGCACTCCTGTAAGCTTCCCTGGGTGCTATGCTGTGCTGTTTTGGTGTTACCCCCGTGTTTCAATGACAGGCTGTATTTTTCAGCTTTATGTGATACCTACTGACGTTCTGCCCCGAGAGAGGGTTTGGGCCACCCCTCAGCCCCTCCCAGTTTGGTTGTATCCCCTCCCTGTTTTGGAGTAGTGTTGATTGCTTCCATTGCATCGCAGCTGGGCCAGAAGGTCCTCTGCTGTTTCCTTCCTGGAGGTGACTGCGCCCGCCCTCAGGGCCGTGGTTCCAGGCAGGTTCTCACCCTGACGGGGCTGTAGCCTCCTCCACCGACAGCGCGGTTCCTCTCTGTTCTGTGTTTTCCTGGGGACTGTCCCTGGAGCCCCCTTTTGTCCCTCCTACCCTTGTGCCAGGGTCCCCAACCCCCCGTCCCGCCTTCCTTTCCCTCGACTTCTTCCTGGTGCCACACCCCGGCAGCGTCCTTGGGTTAGCGTCTGTCGTCAGTCCTCACATCAGCACGCTGAAGGAACGTCCCCCCGCACCACTGCTGCTGCCCTGCCCGGAGCCTTGGAGAGCACTTCCTGAGTGCAGAGGCGTGAGTCTGTCCTTCCTGGCAAGTGTTAGTCAGTCTCCTCCGAAGTCCCTCCCCTCGACCTTTGGACTTCTGTGTCTGGCTTTGCATCGCCCCGTTTTAGTAAGAATCCTGCTAAGTCAGTTTAATGAGAGCCCCCAGCCCCGGCCCTGCTTCGCCAGGAATCCCGGTTCAGCCAGAGCCCCGGACTTGGTGATTTTCCACCCACCTGCCCCTTGGCTGGAAAGCCCCACTTCCCAGGCTGCGCTGGGAGTTGAGCCGGTTCTATACTGAGGTCTCTTGTCCCCAGTGCAACGTTCCTGAACGGAACTTTCCACAGCTTTGACTGCTGCCCGGCTCTGGGCCCCTTGGGTGGCTCTGTGGGGCTTGGAGCCTCCTCAGTGACACTGCTTGGCGTTTGAAGGGGAGCAGGTGCCACCCAAAGCGCGCCTCTCTGGCGTAAGGGTTATTTTGAGAAACAACAGAGGAGCAGCTGCCCTTTTGTGAGGGACGTCTGCACGAGAAGGAACCCTCCCTTGTAAGTGTTGCCCTCTCTGTGCCGGGAGGAGGGGAGACTCTAGGTCACGGGGGACTCTCGCCAGGGAGAAGAGGACTTAAACCCAAGTAACCATCGTGCCGTCGTTAGGTGCTCTGCCTGTCCACCCCCGGACCTGGCCTCCCCCACACCCTTCTTCCGTTGTCTCCAGCTCAGGGAGTTCCAAGGGATCTGGAGGCTCCGTGTCAGGACCGGGGACAAAGACCAAACACCTAGTCCTTGTTACGCCCCAGGCTGCAGTACCCGAGCCCTGCAGACCCGGCAACCCAGACGCTGGACCATGCTCTCAGTTCTGGAGGCTGGAAGCCCACCGTCAGGTTCCCAGCGGGGCTGTTTCTGGTGAGGCCTCTCTCCTGGCTGGCAAATAGCCGTCTCCTCCCTGTGTGCACGGGGAGATCTGTGGGCTAACAGTCGGGAGAACCCCCGATAAAAGGCAGAGGAGCTGTGATTTCTCTGCTTCAAAAACAGCTCAGTCCCTGTGAGCCCTCGGCCAGCAGACTCCCCCCAGGCCCAGCCTGGCCCACTCGCAGGAGACAGAGATGCTCTGCGGGAAGGAGGCTGGCGGAGCCCCCGCGGCAGGCTTCGGGTGCTATGGCCTGCAGAAGGGGAGCATGTGGCTGGGGGGCTGGGTCTCTTAGGCTGCCCGTGGCTCAGTACGGCCCCTGTGCTGCTGGCCCTGTGGCCAGTCCAGCCACCGCTGTCCTGGCTCCTGCTGGGTGGACACGGGTGCCCGTGGAGACTCCATGCTGCCCCCTGAGCATGGCCCAACCAGGAGCCGAACAGGCCCCTCTTTCAGCCCCGGCGCCTGGCCATGCCTGGTTCTAGGACCGACATTGGAGGGTGGGCAGGTGGGCAGCTGAGCGCCAGGGAGTGAGGGACCCAGACCCCAGATAGGCCCCTGCACACACTTGCTGAATCTTTATTGCACTTTTACCACATTGCAAACTATTCCATGGAAACTCTGCGCAGGTACCCCAGCGGCCCGGCCGTAGCAGTGTGCCTTATGGACACAGCTTCCAGAGCAAGTCAGATTATGGACAGCCCGGCAGCCAAGCCCCGAAACGCTACGGTGTTCGTCTGTCGATGTGTGTCCCTGAGGGCCCTCAGGAGCCTCCGGCAGCTGTGACGAGTCCCAGCCCCTGGAACTCAGCCCCAGGAAGGGAGGAGAGGTTCTGCTGTAGGTCGGACCCACGTGGGAGCACGTCACAGCGACCCTGCCGCTGGCGGAGTGGCCTCCGTGATTCGGGAAGGGGTCCGGGGTCTGCACAGACGTCTCCATTTATGTACATTTACACCAGGTATAAATACAAAATAGTAAATAAAGGCTTCCTCTCCATATAAAAAGGGTGGGTCGTCCGCCGCCAGGCCGCTCTGTCCGTGGGCGAGAAACGTGCCCTCCAGGTCTGTTCTGGTCTGGACCCGGAGAAGACGCGCCCCGTGGACCTGCCGCGAGGGCCCTGGCGTCCTCGGGGCAGCCTGGTGGCCCTGAGTTCACCAGCCTCCCACATCCCTCGGCACTGGCCGCGGCTCGTGGTCACTACCTCCCGGCGGAGACTCTGTGCTCGGGGTCCAGGTCGTCCTCTACGACGCTGCGCAGCCCGTCCCTCTCCACGCAGTCCCTGACTGCCTGCAGCACCACGCGCAGCCGCCGGTCCAGCGCCTCCAGGTGCGGCGGGTACAGGACGGGGGCCACACGGTCCCCCCGCAGGGACTCGGCCATCAGCAGGCTGAGCTTGTACTCCTCCTTGACCAGAAGCTGCAGCCGCAGGTAGGTGGACTTCCTAATCCTGCAGGGACAGCGCGGTCAGGCCCGCCAGCTGAGAACCAGTGCCTCCTCCGCCCCGAGCGCGGGTCCCGGCTTAGCCCCGACCTGCTCAGGCCCCTGCCTTTCTGAGGCCCTGGGTGAGGGTCCCGCCTCGCAGGACGGTGCCTGGATGGGCCCAGCAGTGCACCTGTGAGTCCAGGCAGATAGGGCAGGAGGGAGGCGGCCCCCACTCAGCTCACATCTGTCTGGGCCAGGCAGACACGGAGGTGCCCCCAGCCCAGTGCAAAGGGTTCCCCCCACAGCCTCCTTCCAGAGGAGGGATGGGTTTGGGAGCCCCACGGAAGGAGGCAGAGTCTGGAGAGCTGGGACCCTGGGCCTCAGTGTCTTGCTCTGAAGGTGGGCTGTCACAAGAAGCTGGGGTCCTAGGCCAGGTAGGGGCTGTGAGTCGCCAGTGGGGGATGGGAGGCTCCGCCTTCTGCTCAGTGGCAGGGTCACAGGTGGTGGGGCCCCTGGGCAGGGGCAGGGCCCTACCTGCAGCACTGCTGTAGAGGCGCCAAGATGGAAAGCTCATCGTGGGAATGTTTCCCAAACCTGTGGGAAGAAGGGCAGAGTGGTGGAGAGGCCCCACGCAGGGGCCGCTGTGTGCAGACATCATGCATAGGCACCTCACGGGGACAGAAGCGCCAGAGCAGGCAGTGCCTGTGTGTGCCCTGCCGGGCTGCAGAGCCGGTGGAGGCCGGGCAGTGTGGCCTGGCCCCTCCTGTCCCAGCCCCAGAGGTGGGCCCCTGAAAGCCGCCTGAGGTCTGGCCGCGAGGCTGAGCAGAAGCTCAGGAACGAAGGGTCCCAGGAAGGCTGGGTGGAGGAGGCTTCAGGGTGGGTCAGCCTAGGGCCCAGCTGCAGGGGTGTCTTTCCCAGCCAGAACTAGTGACCCACACTTGCAGCTGTCCAGATGCCCAGAGCTGATTCCCCCGAGGCCTCTGGGTACCTGCACATCTGACCGTTCGGAGGGGCGGGTCCCCTGCACACACCCACTTCCCCACCCCGCACCAGCAGATTACTCTCCCGGTGGCCCAGGACTGAGTAGTGGCCGCCCAGCAGTGGCTGCAGGCCCTCCTGACGGGGTAGGGAGGGTGTCCGTCCCAGCCTCCTACATGCCTCACCACCCCACCCTCCTTGGCCAGAGCCTCTCTAGGCTGTGGAGTTCACAGGCTCACCGGAGCCCTGTTTACACCCAGCAGGAGGCCTGGCCGGAGCCCTGCGGCACACAGAGGGGTCTTTGGGGTCTGGTCTGGGCTGCAGATGGGTGGGAATGCGGCAGCCCTTCACTGTGTCTGGAAGAGCAAGACCAGGGCTCACCCTCTTCCATTGTCCAAGTGGATGATAAACGTCTCGTTCCCAAACTTCTCGAAGGTCTCGTAGTGATGGCGGTCCATGTTCCCTGTGGGGACAAGTGTGCTGGGAGCTGCATGCGGCTCAGAAGCGACCCCTCCCTCCCCCGTGTGGCCTCCAAGTTGGAACAACTGAGCACAAGCAGGACCATGGCTGGTTCCCGGGCGGCCGCCAGACATACCCATGAGGAAGTCAAAGACGGTCATGTCCATGACATCCAGGATGCGGTGGCCGCTGTCGTAGGGGGGCGTCTGCTTCACCTCCTCGCAGTAGTCGGGGTCCACTTCCCACCTGCAGGAAGCCGGCGTAAGAAGACCAGGCTCCTCCTCTATGGACAGGGAGGCCCAGGCCAATCCCAGGGGCTGCCCAGCTCGGGGCAGTGGATTCACGGGCAGCAAGGATGGGGTGGAGGAAAGCGCCTGGAGACAGGTGCCTGCGAGCGGCCAGCGGAGGCTGCATTTGCAGGAGCATGGGGCTGGGAGGTGATCCAGGCAGACCACCTGGAGGCCGTGCGTTTGGAGGGGTCTCTGTTAAGAAGCAGGGCCTGGACACCACACATGCAAGGACGTCTTTGTGGCTGGAAGAACAGGGTGTCTCTTGCAAGAAGGGCAAGGGTCTGACACCACGTGCAAGGGCAGAGACCCCAGCGGCAGGCAGATCAGCACCCCTGCAGGGACACAACCTGTTCCCAGAGTGAGGGGCCTCTGGTCATCCATCCCGACACGTGCAGTCTAGCCCCACCTCACGCCACATGGCCATTGCCCAGACCCCCGCGCTTGTTCTCGGCCACAGACGGGCAGGGTCGGCCCCCAGGACCCCATGGAAGTCAGAACCCTGGGACCCCAGCCCCACTCACTCTGCCTTCTTGCGCTTATGGTATGAGCGTCGCCAGGGGTTCCGCCAGGTCTTCCTCTTGGCCAGTGACAGGTCCGGCAGGAAGGCTGCCAGCGAGCCCTCTATCTGGTCTGGCCTCCCGCACAGCGCGTGCTCCGTGGAGCAGTAGTAGGAACACTCCCCGTAGAAGCAGATGTTGTTGGCTGAGGGCAGAGGGACCTGTGGTGGGTGGGCCACTCCTCCGGACGTCCATCCTGCCCAGCCACGTCCACACCTGCGTCCCACTGTCCCTCCCACGGCAGGGCTCCCCTGTGCGCTCACGTTCGACCTCGGACACCTGCTCCAACCCCACAGCACAGAGAGCGGAGCCACACAGCGTGGTGGGGACTTGGAGTTCAGCTCTGACCCTGGGCTCTTTCCAGGTCCCTCAAAACCAAGGGCCTGGAGTCTCTGGAGTGATGCTTAACGGCTGTTCAGTGGCTTGAAAAAGGCCCTTGTACCGAAAAGAAAGAGCTCAGCACGGGGGTGATGCCCGCACGTTGCAGCCAGGTGCGACCCAGTAGCTGCGCGTACAGACACTTATGGCTCAGCAATTAAACGACAGACAAGGCAGTACTAAGCGGGCAAAGAGTCCAAAGGGCTCGTCTCCAGAAACACGCAAAAATGGCTGCCGTGGACACAGAAAGCCACTCGTCACCATCAACTGCCAGGGAAACGCAAGTCAAAGCCCCAAGGAGACGCCGCTTCTCAGCCACCGGGAGCTCTGACCGGAGGGACGACGGCATAAGTGCCGCCGAGGGCGTGGGTGGGAGCGCTGGGGTGCAGCCGCTGCGAGAAAGGCCGGTGGCTCCTCATCACCACGGGGCCCGCAAGTCCACCCCCGACACCCCTGGGAGAAACGACACCATGTCTGCACACGGACTCCTGCACCATGCTCATGGCAGACTGTTCACAGCAGTCAGACTGGAAACAGCCTGTGCCCACCAGTGATGGGGAATAAACACTGTGGTACATCTGCAAAACGGACCGTTACCTCGCCATAAAGGGAACAAACCAACACTTGCTACCACGTGCATGGACCACAAGCAGGATGCCCCGTGGACGAGGCCAGACATTCCTCAGAGGAAACGCTGGGAACAGGTAGATCCACTTGGAAACGTTGGTGGCGGCCAGGGCCAGGGTTGGGGAACTGGGGTGACTCTGAACAGGGATAGGGGTTCCTTTTGGGGGGAGAAAATGTTGTGGAATCATAGTGGCGACTGTTGCACAACTAAAACCCGCTGAACTGTACATGACACGAGCTGGATTTACAGCATGTGACGTGCATGCCAGGAAGGAAGGGCGGTTTGCAAAGCGCCCACCAGCATCTCCTGGCCCAGCTAATCAGCCAGCAGGCATCCACGGGTGTGCGTGTACTGATGGAATCCGTATTCTCTTTCGTCACTTTGTTTGTTGGTGGGGAGCCCCTGAGAGCCTGGGGGTGCAGAAACACAGGGGCCAGAGCCCCAGACGCCACCCCCGAGCCCCCTCCCATCTGTGCGAACGGCCACCTTCCCAGACCAGGCGCCCCCGCCCTGCACATCCTGCCAGAGCGGCACGCATAACCAAAGGTCACTGTCAGGGGATCAAGGAAAGACCAGCCTGAGATCTTGTCTGTGTCGACACGGCTCGACCTCAGCTCCACTTTCAGTACAAAGTCATCTGAGCCCCTACATCCGCCCACCTAAACCGACAGCTGAGCGGCTTTAGGTGGGTTCATGTGAAAAGACAGCATTTCATGGGCCTTTTCCTCGCCAGAGACCAAATCCGGGCTCTACACGGACATCCAGGGTGGGGCTCTGACAGCCCCGGCCTCTCTCGCTTCCAAGCTGTGCCACCTTGGGGAAGCCCTTCCCCTCTCTGTGCCTCGTCTCCTCTGAGCCGGGGCCGCGGCAGCACCGGCCTTGTGGGCGAGTGTTGAACACGTGATCCAGGGAAGGCGTGAGGGGCCCTGCAGAGGGAGAGGAGGGGCTTGGGACCAGTCTCAGGGACAACACTCAAGATAGACAGGCCCAGGTAACCTCTGACCATCCGAGGGTTCAGGGAGGATGGGCTGCCCAGGGGAGGAACTCGGTCTCTGCGAGGGTCAAGACGTCCCAACGCCCGCCCGCCTAAGAGTCCCTGAGGGTCCAGACAGGCCTGCCTCTGAATGTTTTGGACGTTCGCAGGCTGCAGTGGTGCCATCGTGCCCAAACTGGACACCCCTAAGAGCAGTGGGGATGTCATGTGTGGCGGGGCCGCTGAGGAGGGGCCTGAGGCTGCCTGGGCTCTGCTATGTGAACCCCTCTGGCCCTCCGTGCGAATTTAGACTGGACACTGACCACGGCGTGTGGACAGAGCCCCAGTGACTACCCAGCCAGACCCGGGCCGACACGGCGGGAGAGGGGCAATTTAAAGAGCGAGGCTGAGTGTTTTGGAGGGGCAGGAGGGGTTTCTGGGGGGGTCGCATGGGTCCCGGGTAGAAACCCACAGGTCCGCACAGAAGGACGTGTGTATAAAATAAAGACGGGAACTTGCCAGAAAAGTACAAGAAACGTGCTCCAGAAACCTGGGGCCTAGAAGCCTTGGCCTCCAGTCACCGGCCCCGCAGCATCGGCCACTTGGCTGCCCGACTGTCCGGCCCTGGCAGGAAGGGCCCCCTCACCCCGTCGGGTTCCTGGCCCTCCCACTGGCCGCACAGATGTCCTCCTTTTCGACTGACCCGGAGCAGAGCCACTCAGGCCCCGGAGGCGGAAGGGAGTGGAATAAAGGCTCCGGCAAAGCTCCAAAGGCCGGAGAAGTGCCAGGCAAGCAAAATTGGTATAAACGAATCTGAACGGATTTCGTCTTCTAACAGGAGATCAAAGCTGGCTCCCATCACCCGTGGCTTTAGAGAAAACCAGGCACTTTCGAAGGCTTCTGGGACAGAGCAGGGTGAGGGGAAGAGGCAGCCTGGCAGAGGCGCGTGCGGAAGCTGGCCAGCGCATTTAGGGGAGGCTCACCAGAGCATGATCCAAGTGAGGCCCTCCGGCGCCAAGTGAGGTTTCCAGGCGAACCGGCGGCCGGCCCGGGAGCGCAGCTGGGAGCTGGGAGCCCGGAGTGTCGGCACGTACCCCCATGCCGGCGTCGGCACCGCGCACGTGGGGATGCGCCGGGGACCAGCGGGCCCAACGCGGGATGACAGGTGGAGCGCCAGCGCCTGGTTGGCTCATCTGCTGATCCTAGTAGCTGACTGTCTTCTGTTTGCAGAAAGGAGCCCACAAGCCACACACGTACGTGAGACTCCAGGGCCCGGACCGCAGCTGCCTCTCACTCGGAGGATCCTGAGCCATTCGTCAGCTGGAAGGCCCCTCTGCGCCAGGGGAAGCGAAATCCAACACACGTTTCCCGGACTTGTTTCCTTTTCTCGAGATTGCAAACTCCAGTCCCTCCACCTCCTTTTGGGCAAGTTACTTGGTCCCCTCCGTTCAACGCCCACCAGCAGTCTGGACAGAGAAAACCCAGGACGCCCGTCCAGTGGAACAGGACTCGGAAACGGGAGAGAAACCCAGGTCCAGGGGGCGGTGAGGATGAATCTCAAAATGGCATGAAGGGAGAGACGGGGCACACCTGGCACCCGCCCTCCACCTGCAACAGCCTGAGGAAGAAGCCACCTACTCGACCACAGGCAAGGCGGGGGCACAGCGGGAGGCGGCTCTGGGGGGCGGGCACGGTCACCACGTCTCGACTGTGGAGTCGGTTCTAGGTGCAGCAAAACCCATCGGGCCCTGGACTTCAGTAGAACTGTTTGAAAATGGGGATGAGGAAAGAATGGGGCTGACCGAGCCTCGGGCTCTGCTCTGGCGCCGACACCAGAACCTTCCATCTGTGCTGTGGCGGGCAGCAGGGGCACAGCACTGCGTTGGGACAGCACTGTCCCGCCCATTCACACCCGCTGCGGGGCCGCAGCCTGTCGAGGTCTGAGGGAGCTGCGGGCGCTGGTCAACCTGCTGCAGAGCCTGAGCACAGGTGGGACCAGGTTCGATCTGCAAGGTGCCACATCCAGCCCGAGTGGCCACACCATGCACGTTCTCAGGGTTAAGAGGCGCTGGACCTCTCTGTGCCTGGCCTGTCCGTCCTTCGTCGGATCTGGGATGAGCCCCTGCACAGAAACGCCAAGGCCCATGTTGAACGCAGGTGGACGAGGGGGTCCCCACACCTGGGGGTGGGAACAGGGGAGCCACGTATGTTGCAACCTCACTCTTTAAACCTTTGACATGAAAAACTGCAGAAGGACATCAATAGGGAGCAGCCACGTGCCTGGTGGTCCCGAGGGTGTGGCCCAGCCTGGACTCGGTGGCTGTCACCGTGGGTGGTGGAGGCGCCAGGGCATCTAGTTTGAAGAGACCACGAGAGGGGTCCCTGACAAGTGGCAGAAAGCACAAGAGCCCACGGTCAGCTCTCTGGGGAGAAAAGCCTTTCCCATGGCTCAGGCCGTGTGGACAGGAGCTGAGTTCTCCATGAGGCAATGAGCTCCCCGTCCCTGGTGGTGTACAAGCTGCAGCGGTGGGGCAGGCTTGGCAAGGCCAACCGAGAAGCCCTCAGAGTCCATCCGGGAGCACAGGCTCTCACTCGGCCCTCGTCCTGGTCACGTGGGCGAGGAGAGGGGTGAATCATCCGGCGTTTTCTGTCCTCCTTCCCACCCACCCACCATGGGCTCCGCACGAGGCTCTCCATGAGCCTGGATGGCGAGGCTGGAGCTTGATGCCATCAAGGGCTTATAGGCCCCGGCTCCGACAAGCTCATGGCCGTGGCTAAGACACGTGCAGAGGGTGTCAACCTGAACATCCACGGGACATGAGTTCAGGGGTTGGGCTCTTAGGTGCCAGCAGATCTTGAGACGTAGCCCGTCAAGGGCCCCAGGTGGATTCTGTCTGCAGGAACCAGCCATGGTGGGTGCCGGGTGTGACCGAGACAGTCCTGCAGGGTGGGAGGGGCCCGTGCAGTCTCGGTGGCCCCGCCGCGTCACTCCACTCTGCTCTGCCGGCATCAAGGGGTCAACTCAAGACGCTCCAAGATGAAGTGTAAGTGACAAAAGGCTCGGGTGTAGGAGTGCCCCACGCCTTGGGCCTAGTGAGTGGGGAGCGCCCGGGAACTGCTCAGCGCGGGGTCTGGACCAACGGGAGCGCCCAGGGAGGAGGGGAGGGAGGGCTGGGGGGCCCAAGTGCCCAACCCAAGCCAAGCTGGGGCGGGTAGCTCGCAGGGTGTGGCTCAGTTCACACGTGCGCCCAAGGTTGATACTATGATGTAAGACAAAAGCGTGTGCACCGCAGTCTATGACACAGTCCCGAAGGCGCTCATCGCCGTCAGCACCACAGTGATGTGCTCATCGTACATGAGTGTGCAGGGGACCCACCTGCAGGGGGCCCGCACACACCCTCGGCGACCGGGGGAGCTGCCACTCCTCGTCCAGCGCTGCATGGAGGAAGGGGAGACAGCACGGCCCTGCCACTACGTGAGGGTCTTGCTGGGCTGTTTTAAATCTGGGGAAAGTCCAGGGAATGGAGGTGCCCTCTGGCTGGACCACCTGGAGGAGACCTCCCGGGAGGCTGGGGATTTTCTAAAGTAACTCATGTGCCTTTTAAGACAAACAAATGGTAGAAACAACCTCTGTGCCAGCCTGGGGATGGAGTCAGTCATGGCGCAAGACCATTCTAGCAGCTCTTAGAGTTCGGGCGTGGCTCCCAGTAAAGAGAAAAAGTAGCCGAACCCAGTGACATGCAGGGGTGCAGGACACCTGGAGGGACAAGGTCCCCGGGGAAATGTGGTCACCAGGGGGAGACGAGGTCCCCGAGGGAGACACAGTCACCGGGGCAGACGAGGTCCCCGGGAGACGCGGTCACGTGGGGCAGAGTGGACGGTCCCCAGGGAGACGCGGTCACCGTGGGGGAGACGTGGTCCCCGGGGAGACGTGGCCAGTCGACCGTGGGGGGACGTGGTCACCGTGGGGGAGACGCGGTCCCCGGGGAGACTCAGTCACCTGGGGAGACGCGGTCCCGGGAGACGCAGTCACCTGGGGGAGACGTGGTCCCCCGGGGAGACGAGGTTACCCTGGGGAGATGAAGAAGGTCCTCCACAGTTTCTTGTCTCGTGTGACGTCCCGGATCTCCTTGGTCATGTTGACCATCCTGCCGGCCACGGGAGGGACACGGCGGAAGCCCAGGATCCTGGCAGAAGGAACAGGGAAAGGAGTCCTTACCTCTGTGCCCTGGCTGCTCCTGCTGGAGCTGGATGGACACCTCGCTCTAGCCCACGAGGCCCAGTCGGGGCCTGGGGCCTGCAGAGTGGTCACTGACGGCCAGAATCGGACCCACAAGGATGGAGCCTGGTGTTGTGTCTACCTGCCAGGTGCCCAGGCAACTAAAACACACCCTGCCTCGGGGCTGAGCCTAAAACAAAATCAAAGTAACCGCTGTCAGTGGGGCTCTCTCTGAACCAGGCGCCGCTGCCCGCTAATCAAACAGAGGGCGGGGGTGAGCCTTTCTGGCCAAGGCAGGGCGCGGCTGTCCTGCAGGAGAGGCACACGGTGCTGGGGGCACGGGCACGTGGCTGCCTCGTCCCACCCCCGCGCCCCACCCCAGTGTAAATGAGCCCCTCCCAGTGAGCAGCCCTGAGGCTTTCGGGTGAGTCTTCTGTCCCCAGAAGGGCTCTTTCCTGGGCTTGGGCTGCTCTCGACGTGGAAACTGCTGAAACTTGACTTGGGGGTTTCTGTTGCCACCACATAAGATTTGACCTTTAAAAAACCCAGCCCAGCAAACCGGCATGAGCACATGGGTCACCTGGGACCGTGTTAGAATGTGGATTCTGGCCCTCAGGTTTGGGAGGAGGCCCGGACTCTGCATTCTGACTGGCCGGGGTGACACTGGTGCTGTACCCCAGCCACACTGGCTCAGGGCTCGCATGCAGACGGGAAGGCTGAGGGCCAAGGTGGGTCTCCCAACCCCCAGGACCCCTAGGCTGACCCAGAGCCAGGCCGTGGACCCTGGAGGGGCCAGAACTCTGAGTGAGTCCATCCAGCTTGGCCTCCTGTTGGTCGCCTGCCCACTTCCCGAGCCACGAGGAGCATGTGGAACCCCAAAGCAATTCACGTTCTGCTGGGCAGAGCTGCCTGGAGACAGGTGATCGTGGGGAGAAAGGCCCAGTTTTGTGAGACTCATGACCTTCGGCATCCGCAGAGAAGGGGACACCCTGCGATTTTCTGAGTTAAATCCACGACCCTCAACGCTCCCTCCTCTTTTCTCTGCTTTATCCCGACAGCCTGCTCGACCACCCTGGCTGAGCACACAGCAGGGCACGTCCACGGCGTTACACCACCACAAGGGCAGGGACCCCTCTGCACTTGACAGGACCGGTTACGAGTATGGGCTATGGGCAAGCCACCCGCTCTCGGAGCCCGGGTGTCCTTGCCTGTTCAGTGCGGGGAGCAGGGGACCCACTGGTTGGCGGCAAGGGTGGCAGGGCCCACCGCACACATTGCTCAGACCCCGGCAGCACACGGTGGGGGCTCACCTGTCCAGGTGGAAGGCAGCGATCTCTGCGTTGTGCCTCTCGTAGTCAGAGAAGTAAAAGAAGTCAGGAGGCGTCTCCTGCTCCCTCGTCTGCCTGCAGAAGACGGGACAAGCAGAAGGAGTCTGTCACGGAGGAAGGCTCCCAGGAGGAGGCACCTGTGGCTCACTCCAGCTCACAAGAGCTGACTATCAAATTCCGAATTCTGGGATCGGTGGTTGAAGCACAGCTGTCATTAAAAATTAAACTACGTAAGTTACATTTAAGCAGTGATAGATACTCAGAGCTCAGGACTTCCCGGCTCTCTCTCCACCCACTGTCCCTGCGCTCTCGAGGCTGTTCCTGGTCTGCGGGTGGATCTCGGGATGGGCACCTGTTCCCAGCCCACCTCTGGTGACCTCGTGTGGAGCCTGAAGCCAGCTGCAGAGGGAGGTCTGCACCGTGGAAACTGATTATTAACTAGTTCCTAGATCCAGGCCCCTAGACAGACTCTCCTGAGCAGCAGAGGAACCGCCCTGAGCGAACGGCTCCTCTGGCTCAGGTTGTGCAAACTGACCCGACCTGCTCTCCGCCGCCCAGCGGCTGCCTGGACAGAGGGCCCCCTGGGGGGGTGTTGGCTCCTGTTCCAAAGTCCACGAGGGGACTATTTCCAGTGTCCCCAGAGCATCCTGGTGTTTTGGCCACTGCCCTGCATCATCCTATCTTCCCGAGCTGAGCTGAGGTCACCACACCTCCTCCGGGGCCTCCGCTCTGCTGCTCCATCTTCCTAGAACGACCTTCCCTTCGCATCTCACGATGCCTGGGGGTGGGGGAGCATTCCCAAATGTGTGTCCCACCCAACCAGGCCCAGGGGCTCCCAGCACAAAAGGAGGCCTCCGTCAAAGTTTGGAGTTTGGGTAATGGAGCCACTCTCTGAGGTCTCAACCATGCATATGAGCTCTGTAAAGGCTCTGACAAGGCCTGCAGCCCTCTGCTTCTCTACCCATGTGGTTCCTAACACTTTCTGCATTTGTGAGAACTGCTGGCTAAGCTCTCAGTGCAAGTTCCCCACTCAAAGGCCAGCTCCTTCACAAGCCTTCCTGATGCCACAGAGCATGGGCCTCTGCTGGCCCAGGCCCTCCCAGCCTGGCGAGCAGACAGCAGTGTGTTCTGCCCCTTGCTGCCCCAAGGAAGCCCCACTGGACCACCAGATGTTCTCCCGCTGGGCTGGCCGCCCCCTCGCAGTGTGTGAGTGACAGGAGTCTGGATGGGCCCTCTCTGGACTCAGGTCACCCCGGGGTGGGGAGGATTAAGCAAGGAGCCCCACAGTGAGAGGCAGACTCACCTAGAGGTTAACACTCACCCCTCCACCGGGCCTGGCACAGGAGGCCACGTGCAGGGCTCTCATGAAGGGTGAACGCCCCTCTGTAAACATCAGCACTCAGCTGGCGCCGGAGGCAGACACACTGAGATGTGTGCCCTCTGTCCAAAGTCAAGTGGGAGCACACGCTGCCTACATGAGGTCCACCGTAGGGGACTGTCTGGCCGGGGGCACCGCCCGGCCAGACTCAGAGAGGGGACTCGACCCTCAGCCTCGTAAGGATGCCCGCAACCTTCCTCGAGCTGGGGAGCACGGAGAATCAGGGGCCCACGTCTCCCCCACCGAGGCCGTCCGGTCTGGGCTTGAATGCTGCCGGTGACAGAAGACTCAGCACCCCCCCAGGTAACTCTTCCATCCCAGCTCCCGGTCTGCATCCCTCCTACCCAGCACACAGCTGAAGTCGGCTGGGACCCTCAGAGCATCCTGGCCCCACTGCCGGCCAAGGCCACTGCTGAACACGCACAGGTACTGAGTGCTGAGGCCACACGGGAGGGCCAGCTGTGTCTGCTCCCTGTGCTCTCAGAGCTCCCAGCAGGGACACACCCCCTTCTCTGCGCTTCCCCGAATGTCACCTGAATCGGCCTTTCCAGGAACAAGCTTGTGATGCTGGGACAGACCGTGGCTGGTGTCACCCTGGCCCTGCACCCAGGCCCCACATGAGCCACAAAGGAAGACATGACAGACCGCCCACTGCCCATGACGGGGCTGGTGTCAGGGCGGGGCGGTGGCAGGAGGTACAGGCCCGGGACAGTTGGGCGCCTGACAGAAGTGAAGGCCACACTGGCCAGGGCGTCTAAGACTTCAGGGGAATGGAGTCTAGGCTTCCTTGTGGACTCTCCTGAGTTTTAAATGCTGGCACAAGTAAATTTAATTTTTAAAAAAACACTGTGGATCTAAGACAGGAGGGAAGGGGGCAGGGCACAGCCATTCAAGGAGTGCTGCTACAGCAATCGCCACCAAGATGGGGGCAGGTTCAACACCCCCCCGGCGGCCTCGAGGCTCGAGATGGCAGGAGATCTGACTTCTAGTGAACTTGAGCTTCATTATATGCTCATCGCAATACATTAGCATGGTGAATAACATGCTC